TCCACAATTAAGGTTGCATAGTGGAGTGTACTTGGGGCGGTGGGAGGGGTGCGGGGGGATTGTATACCAAAGAAAGAATTTTTCTTTTACTTTTCAAAGAGAGGAGCGAACTGGGAGAGGGGCTGGCCAGGGAGAAAAGTGCAACAATGAATGAATGGAAATCCAAAATCTCTGTAAATGGTCATTAAAATTTAAAAAAAAAATTTTTAAAAACCATTATATCCTGAGGGGTAATAACCTAACCATCTGTTAAGAGAACAAAAATCCATACTATTAGAAAGAGCAATTAAAATTGCCATTATCCAAAATTACACTTAAAAGAAATCTCAATGCTGTCAAGTTAGAACTATGTCATAGCTGATCCTCCAAAAGGTTTTCAGAGGCTATAAATTTCATGGAAGGAGACTGTTCATTTTTCTCACAAAGAGCTGCTAGTGGATTGAAACTTCCACATAAACACCACCTTAAGGTTAGCAGTTTAACTCCTTATCGACTATGCCACCAGATGAGGAAACTGAAGATCTTTAGCAATCTTCAACTGATCAAACATATAATCAAGATTCATTAAGAATTACTTGTTAATGAAATCTGAAAGTAAGAAATAAATGATAATTAGTAATGGGAAAATATCGCCTTGTTAACAGAAACAATTTTGGAGACCACATGAAAGAATTTCCAACAACCTATCCATCAGAAATACATTTTCAACAACATCAACAGTAATATAGGTGCAGACCTCACCAGCTATAACACACTGGAATAAAAATGACAATCTGTAGAAAGAGACAATGGAGTTTTGTCTTATCAGTCAGATAAGGCCAATGGCTAACTTCAGAACAGAGCCCAACTGCTCATATGGAAGTTCAAATTGAAACTGTAGAAAATGAAAACAAGTCTGGAAGAGCCAAAGTACAATCTTGAATACATACTACCTCAATTTAGAAGAATACACTTGATACACATGAAAGACCAAAGACCAGACAAGTTGTAAGATGGCATTAAGGATATCATATGTAGAGAGAAAACAAAAGATTCTAAAAAGACAGGAAAGAAAGAAAAGACCAAAATTATGCCAGAAAAGAGAAACTTGTTCTGGTATATAGATAAGCTAAAGTAAATGGAAGAAATAATGGAATTAAATGGCTAAACAGAAGGTTTCAAAGGGTGGCTCAAGAAGACAAAGAACTATAATAAATGTGCAAAGACCTGGAAAAATCCAAAATCGTTAGAAAAGCCAAAAAGTTTACTTTCAGCATTTCTCAAACTAAAAGAACTAAAGAAAAAGTCAGGCATCAAGTTGCAATATTGACAGATGCTATAGGGAAAATAGTAAATGGTGTAAGAAGCATAAAGAGAAGATAGAAAAATACATGGTCATTGTAACCACAAAAAATCTGCCATTTACTCATTTCAGTAGACAGCATAAATCATGAACCACTGATATTTAAGGAAGAAGCCCAAGCTTCACTGAAGGCACTGATGAAAATCAAGCCTCCAGAAATTTATAAAATATCAATTGATATATTTAAACAAACAGATGCAATTCTGAAAATACTCATTTATGTTAAGAAATTTAGAAGACAGGTACCTGGCCAGGTGACTGGAAAAGATCTATATGGTGTCCACTGCAAAAAAGCCAGATCCAAAAGAAAGGAAACTATCAAACAATATAATTAAAATCAAAGGCAAGTGAAACTTTGCTGTAGAAAACTTCAATACAATGTAAGTTTCCTGTGCTGTAAATTCTAATCTATTAAAGTGGCAGGATTAGAAGTGGTTTTGTAAAGATGTGATCAGCCTAACCTGATAAAAGAAAAGGTTCTTGAGCACTATGGATTGCACTGAATGCATGTTTAGACTTCCTAAAAAAACTAGAAATCTTTTTAATACTGCAACTGTCTTGTGACCTTCATACTTGATCATACTATCTTCTACCCTGATAACCTGACTTGGATTCAACAGCCTTCAAAGTCTGTGATCCCAGGCTCCAGAAACTTCTTGGACTATAGTGGTTGATGATGTGGGGCTCATTAATCTATCCAGATGCTTCTCTTCAAAAGTCTAGCATCCAGATCTAGGACTAGCTAGCCTCTAGGAGTACACAAGCCATTTCTTTGAACATCTCTGTGTGTGTGCACACGTGAAGAAATAACTTATGCTGTTGGTGAAGAATAATGAATGTAACGTGGACTTGCCAGAAGAAGAAATCTTAGACAGCCAGAACACTTCTCAGAAGCAAAAATGGCAAAACTTCATCTCTCATCTTTTGAACATGTTATCACGAGAAACCATTCCCTGGAGAAGAACACCTTGCTTGGGTCAGTGAAAAAGAGGAGGATCTTGGACAGTAGATGCAACAAAGAGCTAAAACAGGAGTGACTGTGAGGATAGTACAGAATCAGGCCGTGCTTCGTTATGTTTAATACAGAGGTTGCAATGAGTCAAAATCAACTTGACATCTAACAACTGCAACTTTAATCTTGGGACTTTTAAACTGGATATTCCAAAAAGGAGAAAGTATGAGAAAAATGGCACTGTACATTTCCTCCCCTCAAATCTCTACTAGCTGGCTTAACAGAAGTCAATCTGATTCTCCTATCTGCCTCTGCAGTCAAATTTTATATCAAATGCCACATAAACTCTGGAAAACGCTCCTGTATATTTTTAAAAGGATCATAATGAAAGTAAATAATGTCTTAGTATTATTAAGAAAATCGCTTTAACCTAACAAACTTTGAAATGGACCCAGTGACTCCTGGGATCCTTAGATCTCTTTGAGAAAGAACGTTATTTTTACACTCATGAACGCATATGGTTGCTATTGTTAGTTGCCAATATGGCAGCTTACATTCATTATGAATAACAGAACTAAATGTTAGTCAGTCCTGGACCACTTCAATGATCATTGGCATGTTAAAACATGTTAGCTACTGTGTCACTCTACCTCACTGAGGGTTTCTCTCATTTTCTCTGATGTTTTACTTTACCAACTACAGCATCCTTTTTTAGATATATGACCCTGAGTAAACTACTTAACTTCTCTAGTCTTTAGTCTTTTCTTCAACTATCAAGAATAAAGAAAGCTATCTAGTAAAACAGAGCAAGGTATCACCGCATGGTTCAAAATTGGGAAGCATGTACGCCAGGGATGTGTCCTATCTCCATACCTTTTCAACCTGTATGCAGAGCAGATTATCTGAGAGGCCGGGCTCTATGAGAAGTGTGGTGTCAGGATTGGTGGAAGATCTATTAACAATCTGCGTTATGCAGATGATACAACCCTGCTTGCTGAAACTGAGGAGGACCTCATACACTTGCTGCAGAGAGTCAAGGACTGCAGCCTTCAGTATGGATTGAGGCTCAATGTCAAGAAGACAAAGATTCTCACCCACTGGACCAATCGGTAGCATCAGGATGGATGAAGAGATTGAGATTGTTCACAGCTTCAGTTTGCTCGGCTCCACGGTCAACACTCTTGGCACCAGCAGCCAGGAAATCAAAAAACGTATTGCGATGGGAAAGTCTGCTGTTAGGGACCTCTCTAAAGTACTCAAGAGCAACGGTGTCTCTCTGGAGACTAAGGTGTGTCTGATACACACCATGATCTTTGCAAACACTTGCTATGCATCAGAGAGTTGGACAATGACTAGGGAGGACAGAAGGAGAATTGATGCCTTTGAGCTGTGGTGCTGGAGAAGAGTATTGAATGTACCAAGGACTGCCAAGAAAACAAACAGATTCAACCTGGAGAGGGTTAAACCAGGCTACTCCTTGGAGGCAAGGATTCTGGGGCTTCATCTGACATACTTTGGACATGTTGTAAGCAGGGATAGGTCCTTGGAGAGGGACATCATGCTTGGGAGAGTAGAGGGACAGCACAGGAGGGAAGACCCTCTATGAGGTGGACTGATTCAGTGACTGGGGTAATCGGGATGGGTGTGTCAGAGTCAGTGCGATTGGCACAGGACAGAGCAGAGTTTAGGGCTGTTGTACATAGGGTCGCTATGAGTCGCAAGGGACTCGACAGCACATAACAACAACAACAACATCTAGTAGAACTGCTGTAAGAGTTAGAGATAAGCACAGTGTTTGAAATATATGAAAATAAGATGAGTTTTATGATAGAAGAGAACATTTATATTTCAAAAAACTTTAAAGCCACTCTTACCTATTTAAGTAAGCAGCCAACTGTTTTGGAGATTTCTTAACCTGAAAATGAAAGTAGATAGTTGTAACATGTACCTTCTTCAACAGAAGTATGTAAATTTGGAGATTGACATCTATAAATCTAAAATCAAGAGTTCAATTTTCAGATTAAAATTTTTTCTGTTCTAATGCCATAGTCAAGAAAATTATATATCATTTTATCCTGTTATTACAAAATTTTAGGTATTTCTCCCACATTCCACATCCAACTTTCCATTTTCTATGCATCTAGTCACATTTTATATACAAAAGGAGCTTAGGTATTAAAAGAATTAACATGGCTTAGAAGAAATCATTATCCGTATTCATGAACCTTGTAAAGCTTAATATAAAATGTCTCAAAAGTTACTCTTGAAGAGTTTAAAAATAGTATATTTTAGGGCTATGATTATCATAAGAGTTTGGAATGAGGGTTGCAGAGTGGAGTATACTTGGGGTGAGGGTGGGAGAGTGTGGGGGGATTGTATACCAATGAAGAAGTTTTTCTTTTGCTTTTAAAGAAGAATGAACTGAGGGTGGGGTGGTGTGGGCGGGGAGAAAAGAGCAACACTAAATGAATGGAAATCCATAATCTCTGTAAATGTTCATTGAAATTAATAATAATAAAAAAAGGGGGGAAAGTTACTCTTAACTATTCAAGCTACTATACTATAACCTATCAAAACAGTATGTTGGGCAAAGCTTTTCAAGACTTAGGAATAGAAAAGGTTTCCA